ACGGTTATGTTCGTTAAAGAATGTGATGCTTTTGTCGTATATTTTATAGACATTTTACAAGGTTGATTACAAGAAAATTACAGTAGTACATCATGATCCTCTCTCGTATTCGTAGGAGAATCATGAACTGGATGGGCTGAGGGTACGAACAAATCGTGCGTCTGGTGGTTGGCGACACGCCTATCCATAACAGTTTGGTGCCGCTCAGAGCTTTATATCGCAAAGATCTGAGGGGCCTATATTGCGCCCGTCACCCTGAGACATAAGTTGACAAGTCCCATGTGTCAGTAATTTCACCGGTTAAAGGAGTGACCACACATATTAATGCGGAATCACGTTAAGCCGGTCAGAAAAAAGCTGTATGTCAATGCAATATGAATGAATGAAAAAGACGTTGCTCGATTCGCTGCATTCGAAACGCAAGACGTCTTTTTCGCTCCTATTACCAGGGATCGGAATAAGTAGAGTTTGTTTTTTTTACCTCAACTTCGAGGAACATAGACAGAAAATGGAGACTGCCTTACGACAATATTTTTTAGGTCCTGGACGTGTGCGGGATTCGGGAAATGACTTACGTACATTAATAATTGACGTAATTGGGGGCAGGCAGGTACACTATATTTATCTTTGCGACACAGTGGGTTGGATATTGCGGACGCAGGATTTTTTTCACGATATCTCTCTAAAAAAATGCCAATTGAGAGATCCTATTGTCCTAATTAAATATCGTCATATCACATTTTGCCATAAATGTAATAGTTTTGTAGGAAAAAAATTAATTTTGTATTTTTTGTATGGGATCATACCTTTAGTGCCTTATCGTTACAAAGTCTTAGTCGATCTAGTCTTGGGATCACTAAAGACGTATTATTAGACCTATCTTCTATAGATTTGGATACTAAACGCGCGCCCAAACCTATTCACTACTTATACGTGTCTGAAAATATTCTATCTATGTTCCTCGAAGTTTAGGTAAAAAAACTCTACCTTTTCCGATCCCTGCTTATTACATGGACAAAAAAGCTTTTTCTGACCGGCGGCGATTCCGTATCGATTCGATAAGCGTAGTGACTTTTATTGTGTAATTTTAGGCTACTAACAGATTGACTGCATATTTGCAGTCAATGCGTGAAGTCGTAATCAACTTCATGCAGCCGATAACGAATTCACGCGTTAATTGCATGCGTTAACTTCAGTTGCATGAAGCCGGTTACGACAGCATGCAATTAACGCATGAAGTCGGTATCCGAGACCTCGACTGCATGAAATTGATTACTTCACGCATTAACCACCAACCAACCAACCAACCAACCAACATGCCAACTTCATGCAGCCGAGATCGACTGCATGCAGTTAATGGGTGAAGTCGTGATCAACTTCATGCTGTTGTGGTCTTGGCTACATGAAGTTGATTACGTCTTCACGCATTAACTGCAAATATGCAGTCAATCTGTTTGCACACAAATCGATATGTTTTTCAGACATAATAATAAGGCACATATATCATTAAACCTATCAACAAAAATGTAACAACATTAATTACCGTGCATGTATAGTAAGTCTTTTTTTAATTTCGAATTTTTTTGTCTGTGGTATCGCTTTATTTGCGATAATCAAGAAGTAAACGTCTATTCTTTATTTCTTTCTTAATTTATGGAGATTTTTACAGAATTCTACTACGTTTTTTAAAACTTTAGCTTACACACTAAAGTACTTTAAATATTACTGGTACTAAAAAGATACATAGGTAATTAAAACAAAATTTTATACTTACGCCATAACAACCAATGATCAATACAAAAATAATCACCAACAAATATAATCCTTTTGCCTTCATACTTACAACCGCCGTAATATAATGTAGTCTTAGCTTGCAAACTTCAATTCACTAAGTAAAGAACTCAACAGCAGCCTTATAAAGAAACAACGCATGTAAGGTTTAACTAAATAAACCACACTTAAAACAGTCAATAATATATAATCTGATGGTTAAATACACTAGTTACCGATCTTCATGTCTGATTTGAATCAACGATCATATGTGGTTATGGAAAAACTGGATCTTAATTTACATTTAATTAGACAGAAATCTAGCTTAACTTGGTACTTGGTGCAACGGGCTGGTGTTCGCAACTCGACGACAACGCGCCTATTTTGCGTGAAAAAATAAAATAAAAAATCTAGCTTAAATGCAACATTGAAAGATGACCTGATAATTTAGTAATTTAAAGTGCGACTGGATAATATTTAACCACCACTGAGGTTAGAAAACAAACCGCATTATTACATCGTTATAAACATTACAAAGTACTCAAAAAAAAGTATTTTTCTTTTGTTTTTTTATGAGTACCTACGTTGTATTATTTTTTTCTTACATTTTAATTTTGATTTTCATGTCATCATTTTTTGTCCTTTTGTTTTTCTTTTTACTTATTTTTAATTTTTCTTTTAAAAAGGGTTAGAGAAGAAAGAGGACAATCGAAGGAATAAGGTGAAATATTAATGACTAAAACCTAAAAAATAAAAAGCTGTAATATTTTTGTCCTATTAGTTTAAATGATTGAATAGTGATTTAAATGATTGAATATGATATAGTCGATCCTAGTGGAATAGAACGAAGTTCTTTGGACATTTGTTACGTGTTGTACTGTCGAATTTATAAAAGTAATAATTAAGAGGAAAATAGAAGGAAAGAGAAAGAGAATACGAAGAATTGCGCACAGTGAACGAATAAACAAAATCCTCAAAGTGAGCAGCTGTAAAGGGATCACGAAGATGGCTAAGGACCGTGAGAAGTGGAGGAGGCTACACTAACAACAGAGCCAGACTCTTAAATAGGACTGTAATTCTTAGTATACGTGTTATATTTAGTTCAGATGATATAATAAAAGTCCTTGGTATACGTAAAGTACCTACTAAATGCTGCGGTTTTCTTGTAAGATTTCGAAGTAAGTTTGTGTTTATGTTTTTATCTCGAGAAAATTTTTAGGAATTATGTTTTCACATTGTGTGTATTGTGCAATCAATTTTTAATCACTATGTATAGTGATTAAAAAGTAAAACTACAAATTATAGTAAAATAAAATGAGGCACAGAGTTAGTGCCAATATAATATATACTAAAGATTTGTAATCGCATTATAATCGTGCTATAATATACTTTTAGGTTTTTAATACAATTCTAAAACTTGCCTTGAAGAGCAGTCTAAATGTTTGAACATATATAACATGTATGTATAACAGGGGGATAAACGCGATGTAAAATGTTAATAGGCATTTGTACACCTACCAACTGTCCCGAGATTTCGTATATAAACAAGATTCACTTTTTAAATGAAATTTTATTTACCAACTCTGATAACGTTGTAATAAATTTCCTTCAAGGAATAATAAAATTGTTTGAATGTTTGAATAGGCTTTCGCATATATCTTTATATTTTTTGGCTGAAAATATAAAATTATTGATAATTTTAGCGGAGAAGGATTTGTAAAACTCGAAACATGTAACAAAAAAGACGGACTTTTGCACATTTGAACTTACTACTATTACATATAAATCTATTATGGTTTCTAAAAAAATTATATATGTTATTCTTTATGATCAAAAATATTCATGTTATTCTTCACTTATCTGAAAAATAATTAAGTGAAATTGACAAAACTCACCAACACCCTTGCTATTCCCAATGGTTACTTTAACAGGCTCTTTCATTTCCGTCGGGAACATCATGTCCACCTGCTTGATCATCGCTTCATGAACTATTTTGTTGTTTTTCAACAGCAATGATTGAGTATTAGGGAAGGCTAACAACGCAAAGGCATCTGATGTTGCAGATGTCCATGGGGATGATGACTACCTACGATCAAGTGGCTCGTCAGCTCGTTTGCCTCCTTTACATAAAAACAGATATATGCAGTATTTTTTAATCTGTCCTTAAGCCGGATTAGGCCGTGTATGGTATCAAATTGAAATTGAAAAAAAAAATGGCAGGTTTTTGACGTTACAGTTTTTACACAAATAATTTTTTTGTATAAGTATTATTATGTAAAAAAGAAGAATTTAAAGAGACGACCTAGACGCGCACATAAAACATCGAACCTCAGTGGCACAAAACAGAAGTGTGGAGGGAGGGGAGGGAGGCCTTTGTCCAGAAATAGGACAAAATAGACTTTAAAAAAATATTATTCAAGCTAATGTCTTTAGAGCCAATGCTCAATAATTAATTATTATTTAATAATAAGTATCAATTTCAAAAAACGAACTTTATTACATTGGCTCTGATCTGGGTGTTTTGGGTAATCAATCAGAAGTTAAAATCGTTGCTCTGGCACTCATAATACATACAAGCAACACCCTAGTTTGATATCAAATAAATTGGTTATCATTATTAATTGTCGAAAATTTATTCTCCAACTTTTGAAAGTAGCTGAACAAATAAATAAATTATGTTTTAGTAATAGAAATACCGCGATGAGTGATTTCGGGTTGTTTCAAAAACATTTACAAGTATTAAAAATATTTAAATATTTATTTAAAATATTTGCGATTACAAATAAATAAAAATCATAGAAACAAATAATAATCAGAATTTACAGCTATAATTATTGTAAACACAAATAGTAAAACCATTTACAGAAATAGGTTTTTCTTTGGTAAAATGTGCGCCCACGTGATAAATAAATAAATATTATCATCACATACGCTGCTATCCCAAAGTGAGCAACTAAAACACTTGTGTTATGGAAATTGGAAACAACAATGGTACCACAAACACCCAGACCCGAGACAACATTGAAAAGTTAGTTTCTATAATTGACCCGGCCGGGGATCGAACGCAGAACTTCAGAGATGACGACACCATGAAAACCGGTGTGCAAGCCCCTCAACCTCGTTAGTATCAGTAGCAGGTATCAGGTTTCCGTGTGCAGTTGCACGTGTAGGCCGCAACGTGTGTGGCCAACAACGCGCCCAGTTTCACGAGGGGAAAGTTTTCACGCGGCCGCCGCGCAGTGACCGCCCGGTTCCCACGCCTTCGTGTACATAAATGGCGAATCTGAATTACATTAACTAGGCAACAACATTTTAATTCCTCTGAATAATACAACGCGTAGACCAAATTCAAGCCAAGCTCGCCCGCGTGCCCGGGACACTCATTTAAGTTAAAACGTGAAAGCTAAACAAATAGAGCGTATTTTGCCATGACAGTTAGACGCATGCGGTCGCTGTGCGGCGGCAACGCGGACTCCGCTCTTCGACCACGCAGCGGCCGCCGCGGACTCCCCTCGGCGATCGTGTGCGGCCGCGCGGGTTGAACGCAATGAAATTTGTGTCTAATAAATGCGCCCTTGGCTACATAGTTAGTAGAAACAAATAATAATATAGTCATAACAGCAACGGGTCCAGTGTAAGGTTTTCTTTATTAGGCCAGTCTTGTCTGGTTGACCACAATCAGCTTAACAAAGGAACACGAATCTACCACCTGACGACCTGGCGGACTGACTGATGATGATGTTGATGACTTATAAGTCATTAAATACTAAAGACGCTTACAGACATAACGCTCAATTAATTTAGAATAAAAAACACACAGCAATAAAAGAGCAAATTGTCCAAATTCATAATGACCGAAGACTATTTGTACCTACAGATGATTACTCAAAAGAAAAAACACTAATGCTCAGTCTTTGTTCTGAGTATAAGACTTTAGAAACATTTGCTTTATGCATTTGCATTTTCTTAGGATCGGTTAAAAAGTATTTACTATTATTTTCCTTAATGGCGGCCACTAGGTTTAGGCCAGTCATTTTTAACCGACTACAAAAAAAGAGGAGATTCTCAATTCGATTTTTTTTTATACATACGTTACGCGATTACTCTGACGTTTGTAAGCCGATTTTGATTATTCTTTTTTTATTGGAAAGAGGGTACCTCAGTAGTAGTCCCATTTAAATTTGAAGAAAATATCTTCTTTAAGGGTGGCGAACGCGGGGAAGAATCCGGTTTCGCGCACTTTACGGTAACCGATTTCATTAAAACTTGGCAAATAGACGTAATTCCTTAACGTTTGAGGTCGGTTTTTTTAGTACTCTGTACTGAGTTTATTTACTCTCTTAAACGAAAGAAAGTTTGACTTTTTAAAGCGGTGCAATTACAATAGATATCTTTAATAACATAAAAAATGTAATATTTTGGCTCACTCGAATATGTAAGTAAGTCCATAGCTGGAGACTTGAGTAAATCCCGTGTTGCCAGGCTTTTGTTAATAAATATTATCACGAATTAATTATTGATGAGGGTACATAAGAAAATTAAGTACAATTTATTTATTTTTTTATTTAATAGGATACAACAGATAACAAATTACAAATAATACTTCGAACTATGACAAATATGTATAACATTTCAAATCTGAAATTAAATTATGCACAACATTTAGAGGTAACAACATTTTAGGTAAATTTAAAGAAAAATATTAAAGAAAATATGATGTTCCTTTTTGCTGAAAATAGAGTAGTGTCAATGTCGAGTTACGGACACCAGCCTCTCACTCCACTACCATAGCATAGTTTTCAACCGACTCTCGTATATCAACACTACGGAGACAGCGCGATGGAATTACAGGACTAATAACGCACACAATATAACGCACACACTCAACATATTTTATTCCGCCTTCCTCTTTCCATCACCGGGGGAATAGGCGTATGCTTGGGTTTCACCGCTATGTTGTGGATATTCCAAAGATTCGCAGGAAGTGTTACGCTTCCACACTTATATGGCGAACGGCTATGGAGTGGAATTCCCTGCCTGCAGACTTGTTCCCTGAACGTTATAACTTGGGCCTTTTCAAGGCGAGAGTGAATAGGTATTATTTAGGTGTGCATGCTCCATCATCCACCTCATCGTCACTTTCCATCAGGTGAGATGGAGGTCAAATGCGCACTCACATTTTATATAAAAAGAAAACAATATGGAAAATGTTTTTGTATACTTATTGATGTGAATCTGACCTAAAATATTTTAGTGTATTTGTGCTATTCTATGTACGTAATACTTATTCATTATCTACGGGGTATGTAACTCTGGATACGCCTTTTTCGTGTAATAATTTTGACATGAAAAATTTATTGCAAACCTCCAACAATCATACAGAATCTGCACGACATTTTGTACTTGAAGTACGCTTTTCAATAGATATTTTTTATATAATTTTCACCTATAAATACGACTATTTTTAAGCAGTATTGCGTTTATTTGAGTAAAAGCAAGCACTAGATGTACAATATAATATTGATGCATTGAAAAATCCGCAACGACCCGGATTGCTAGCTCTTTTACCATGGTTAATGTACCTCTATATGTGATTTTTTGTAAGTATTCGTTTTTGGTTTGATTACATAATTTAGAAGACTTTAGTATTTTTACTTAAACATAAAATTTGTAAGATTTTTATAATTATATTATTTGTAAAATACTTTTGCTTACATATTTAAAGATCCTAGCAGAGATATCTATTATGACTCACCATCTTCTCTTACCTCTTTAAGTTTTATTATATTTGTTTGTATTTCATGTACATCTTTTTTAAATCTATACCTACTATACATATATGTATAATACTTATACTTAATCACAAAAATAGTGATATTAAATTATCGACTTGAAAAGCTGTTCATAACAGTCGTCTTCATAAAGTCTCAAACCCCTTTTAGGGACAATACATACGCTTCTATAATAAGACTCCGATTGAAATTCAAAATTTGCCATTTACGAGGCTTTAAACTACTGTGAAATAACAAACTTTGTATTAAAGGTTATTATACAACTTCTGCGTACCTGGATAACAAATTCCGTGTTAGTGACCCGTTTAGCTTTTTCAGCAATCTAAGATGTTTAAATAAAATACTCGTATTGTAATGATAAATGTATTCAAATGTATATTTACACATAACAACCCTTAGTTTTTTGCTCATTCTTCTCAGGGAACTTGCCTTACGAATGAGCAGTAGAGTTTAATCAGTAAGACGATTTCAAGTGTAATTTGCAGTTACGCATAAGTATATAAAATAAAGATTATATTGACTTTGAAAAAAAAATGTTCAAAAAATACTGCTTATTATAATGACCTTTGAGAAAATTCTATACGAGTTCTTGATTAACGAAGTAAAATCTGACAGTCTATTGTTTTTTGTCAACAATGAGTATGCACGTATTGTAATTTAACGTTGGTAACTATTTCTTTCAGCTTTTATAAATAAATACAAACGCACGTAAGAAACGTTTTCAGAACGATTGCCTGAGAAATACAGAATAGACGCTATCTTCAACGTCTTTCATTGACATTTTGTATTGAATCTCGAAACCTGTTGAGGAAATCAGCGTAAAAGTGGTGTAACCACTGTGTGTAGATATAGGAATAACCTAACCTATCCTCAGTCGGTTTTTTTAGTAGTATACTAAAAAAACCGACCTCAAAAGTAATTCATCCTCTAGTTTACCATACTCAGAGGTCGAATATTTTCTTCAAATTATTATTATATATTTTCTATGTGCTTGAGTCGTGTCTTTGTGTTTAGTTTTTCAACGACTTTTTAGTCGTAGCGCCATCTATGAGAAATCTAGAAAGATTTATCACCCAGTTGGTACCTTTACAGCAGTCCTGGCGAGAGATATCGCTATTCGCTATATTTTAAAAATTCGTGAGATCCGCTGGTTCGTTCCGTGGCTTAGTTGGTATAGCACCTGGCACGGTATGCTAGAATACGTCGGTTCGAATCTGGCCGGATCGAAGGAATTTTTTCTGAGTGTTCGATCTTTGTATTAATAATTATAACAAACTAGTGGAGTAATTTCACAAAAAATAATTGAATATCAATTCAATAAAAATTTAAAATTTTGACATCGTCAACTTTTTGGTCAAGCGCGAGTCGTCCATAAAAAAATATTGACAAATTGTTTAAGTGCAGATCAACTCGTTTCAAATTTCTTTCAACAGAAAATAATCTAGAGACCTAAGAAAGAACTAAGACCATGGTACCTATAAAGTGGCCGAAACCTACCAAAGAACATTAAAAAGTTACCAAATAATTTACTCAGAAGTAGACTTAGTGTATGGCTCAAAGACAGAAGTTATTACATCGAGTATATATCTAGAAATAGAGACGAAATGTCATTTAATTTGTTTGAAAACTATTCTGCCATGTCAGTATCATTACTGTGACAACTGCGCTCCGATTGGCTAGCCCGAGTTCGAAACAATTGATGGGTGTCGTCAATGGATGTCGTCAACTGTTTCACTTCACTTCAAATCGACCAGTTAACTTGAGCTTTGCTATAATGGACGAAAATTGCAAAATTACATATTTAATATTTAATTACCGATAATAACGCACACGCACACACTCAACATGTAATGTGATTCCGTTTATTTTGTAATTAGATGTTTTGCTGTTTTTCCCACACTACCGAATAGAACAGCACGGCATTGTTAGAGATATTATCTTTATTACAATTAATACAGAATATATTTTGGAATATACGGAGACGTACACATAGGTCAGTAGTTGGCCTGTCTACATTTCAGTGCAAACGAGAGTTGATATTTATAGATAGAGCTGTATCGCTAATGTGTCACCAGGAATATATGGCCCTTATTTCGTCTCTATTTCCGGTTATATACTCAATGAGTTATTACAAGATGACCGTTTTTTTAGATAAATGTGACATGAAATTAGTGCTTCATGTGTAATAACATAGGGTGTAATCGTTAAATGTGGCCAGGCGATTATTCCGCCAATAAAAGAGATATCAATAACCTTTAAACGGATTTAGAATAAAATGTTTTCATTTAAAAGAAAAATGTGACATTCGTAGAGTGGCTCTAGTTGACCTACTTTAAGGAGTAACTATGAATTTGCAGATAACGAACTTTTTTTTATTACCAACTGACGGGTCGCGCGCCTGATATTAACCGACACGGCTATCCATAACAGTTGCAGTGCCACTCGGACCTCTAATCGCAAAGATGAGGCACCGCCATTGCGCCCGGCACCCTGACACATGAGTTGACAAGTCCCATGTGCCTGTACTCTCACCAGCACTCTTGCCCTTCTATACCTGAACGCAGTAACGCTCACATTACCGCTTGGCGGTAGAAATAGGAAAGGTGGCAGTACTACCCTGGAAGAACTCTTTCACAAGGAGCTCTACTGCTACGAAACAGCTGTAAATAAAGTAATAAAACTTTATTTTAATTGAATAAAAACAAAGTGACGTTTATTTCTAAGAAGGTGGAAAATTTTGTATTCAAAGTGATTGTTCGAAACTGTGGGAGCGTTTAACATTAAAATTTTGGATATTATTATTTTTTTAATATTGATGTTGTTTTACTCATTAGGCAACGTACTTTCGATATGAGCTTAAAGGTTTTTTTGTATCTCTTATATTTACGGAATAATCGCCTAGGCACCGATTACACTCCGTGTACATAATGATGTACATGTACATATGATATATAAATAATGCAACTGTTGGACATTGATAGTTATTATTTTATTGGTAATAATTGACTGATTATTCTTCGTGCAGACCAATGACAGTGTTATAATTAAATTAATTTTAAGCAAAATGTTGCATGCCTAATTTGGTATAATATGTGTTTTATCAAAATACTATGTTTCATCTTTCGTTCACCATGTTTTAAGCAAATAAATTTCATTTCATACATTAAGCACAATGAAAACAAATACCTATATACGCGATAAACGTAACTGCCTTTGTAATCGGGGCCGAAATAGGAAATGAAACTATTTTTCCGGATTTAAATCGCGTATATTTGTTTTTTGAAACAAACCGACGTTTCGTGCCCTTTACAGGTCCCATGGTCACGGTTGACTGAGGTGGTACAGTCTTCAACCAGTTATGTCTAATATTGATGCAAACCACCCTATTTTTTCACTATAGTTACAATAGTTATTAATTAAATACCTTATTTTTAATCGTGGCCGAAAGGTTACCATGCTGGAGAAATATTTATATGGTCTATATTTATTTCTCTCGTGAGTTGGGTGTAACTTGGAGTTCTATGTCTGTCTCCATGGCACTCACGAACAGGGTTTCCCTAGTGTGAGGCTATGAGTATGTCAGTATATTTACTATGTACTCGTTATTTATTATTAAATCCGAAAAAATTGTTTCATTTCCAATTATGTGTATAATATTACAGTGAGCTTTTACACTTTATTTTAACCTGGAAATTAACTAACGAATTCGTTTGGAGCAATGCTATCCAAAAAATAATTACCCTTCTATCGGATAAGCATTGTACGAAACACGTGTCTGAAGCATAAAACCTAAACTAGCAATTAGCTACAGAACCAGTGATTCTGTAAAAACGTGTGAATAGTGTAACCATGACCTTATGCGGAAATTCCTTGGAATATATTGTCTATATTATTCACGAGTAATCTATTTATACAAGTACTATATTCGTAAACGTCGCAGTAGAGCTTCATGTGACAGAGTTCATCCTAGGAAGTACCGCCACGTTACTTATTTCTGCCGTCAACCTGTAATGTGAGCATTGCATCATTCCGGTTCACCGGTAGGTGAAATCACAGGAATATGGGACTTGTCAACTTAAAGCTCAGGTCGACAGGTGCAGCTTAACACCTGAAGCAAGACTTGTTCGTCCCGACACTTGGTAATAAAAAACGAGCGTACTGCACGAAAAATCATTAAAGTACTTGTCACTCAAATGCGCACAGTTTTCTATTGTCTGAATATAGTGGATACCAATCGGAAAGTGAAGGGGGAAAACGGTGCACACTTAAAAAAGTTGCCCTTCATCTGATAACACTATGTAACAAATTTTCAAAAAGGTTCTGTTTCTGGTTTGACAGTATTTGTCTCTTTTTAATTGGGCAGCAAATCTGCCATTCTTAGAAATAGAATATTTTCTTCAATTTTGAATGAGACCACTACTGATGTACTGTATTTCCAACAAATAAAGACCATCTAAATCGGTTCAGAAATGTCAGAGTAAGCATCTAACATACACAAAAAATCAGTCGAATTGAGAACCACCTCCTTTTTCGAAGAGGGGTCCTAAATACTCGATTTATAATAATTTATATCGATAATTTCAGCATGTCCCCCTTCAAGATAATCAAGAAACAAAGTATCCAAAAGTTATCTAGTGTGGTCACCTTTCAAACCTGATTAGGTGTTAAATATCGACATTGTCATAGTGTATAATCGATCAACCGACATCATATATAGCACTGAACTTAGATCAAGGTTTCCAGAATATATTGAAGACTATGCACGACCGCAGCATCAGAGAAGGATGGAAAACATGGTACTTCAAATAGTACTCGTGAAATTTATTGTTTGTCTTATCATCATCTCTATTTGTGATGCGGTAAGAATTAATTCTGTTATAAATACATGACTTAAATTTTTCTAGCAGCCCGTCAACTTAATAGCAAGAAATGTATAGTTATGAATGCTGTTTGGTGAGTTTGAATTTGGTGGCCGTTCACATAAGGTTGTAAAATTGGATCCCTAAAACGTTTGCTACAAATAAACAAAGGAACGGATGTTGCCTGAAGGGTGTGGACGTAAAAGCAATATTCAATAGTTGGAGTTGTATTGATTGGAATGAATATTATGATGTTTTACTTACTCTGTATTTTTTGAAGAAGGTGTAAAATAACATGAGCAAGGTTGCAACCTTTCGTGAATTTTAAATAGTCGATAGTTTTATCGATAGATTATGACTGCTTTCACAATCTATCGATACAATTTTGCCAATAATGTCTGAATTATGAATGTTACGACGTTGCTAATTGCTTTATTGTTTTCTTTATTCTTATTTTGACAGTTGGTTTAGTAGTTAAATCAATTTTTAGTCATACACGTTATAATAATGACTTGTGGATTTGATTATGTACTTATATTAAATTTAAATTAAATCTGTAAAATGTGTCTCCTATTTGTATTTTTAATAGACATACTTCTAATTTTGGTGTAAATAATATGCATGAATTTTCAAAACATAACAATTTTAATGACCCTGTCCCCAACAGTTTGACGAATAATGGGCCGATGATGATTCTAATGAAACAAATTCGGATGTTTATTGCATAAGCGTAATCAACGTTCAGTACCTACTTGCAAGCGGACAACACTTTTGCGCAATTAACTGCCACTTCGTCGGGGATAGTGCAAATCCACGTATGTAGTAGGTATTGGTAAAAAGCGTGTATCTGCACCAAACCAAATTTCACAGGAGAGGCATTTCAACGACGTTCATTTTTGCACATTAAGCATTAATTTATGTTGTCTACGGACTGATAACAATAGATTCCCGTAAATCACGCTAATTTGGTTGCCACGACATTTACGCGGATTTATTTGGGGACAAAATTACCGAAATAGAGACTCATTCAAATGCTAATTACGCGTAATTGTAACATCCCCGACGATTTTGCTATATCTTCATAGAAGACCGACTATACCATGATATTCACTTATTTTTATGAAAAGAGTTACTAGTTTCTAACAAAACTTGCATAGATTCCTCGCATTTGACACAACCGGCAAAAAAGTCATTAAGACCAAAAACAAAGAACAACAACAAACGAATAGAAACATTTGTCATCTCTGCAGACACGATTTGTAGCTCAAAGCATTTGCCCTAGATTGATAATACAGACGCAGGTTCGAATCCTGTCAGATCCAAGATATTTTTACTTATATTTTTTTATTTGTTCGTTTAGCATATACCTTAAGGACTAATATACTTTTAATATAATCTTAAAACTAAATAACTAATCTATACGAAGTGCACTTGTCGCCGTCGCGTGACGCAATCTGGTGTCAGATAACCTGCCTCGGAATCGCCGATACCCTATGGTCAAAACTCCTTCACGAAGGTCGACAGATGTTGGATTGGCACTCTCACCACAAACGAATTAAAATTAACTTTGTGCCGGGAGTCCAAGCGCTCGATCTTCTGGGTGTAGTTGGCTTTTTTAATCTGATGTACTCCACTATCTCCTCAGACTTCGTGGAGTACAGCAACGTCGTCGATATGGCCGGACGCAGCAGAAAGTTGGGTCATGTCGGTTGGGCCTGTGTGACACAACACAGATTACGGCTGGTGGGTTTTCTCTGTCTTATCGTGACACCAATTCGTCTGCCTCTGTGATTTTGAAACTCAGAGACAGGCACACTGGAATTGCTTTTTTCTTTGTACTCAATCTTTGTATGAATAATTATTAGTTAGAGTTAACAAAAAAGAGTTCTAAAGGAGTTCGAGAGTTCGAACTTTAACAGCCGTAAAACGTATTTAAAAAAAGTGAAGTGAAAAGGAACGCCTATTCATACCCTGAGTTTTTGGTGCTGAGTCTACTCTAATTGAAATTGAAACAAATTTAATTTGTCTTCATTTTATTTGTTCACAGATGACGATGAAACAGATCAAGCAAACCGGAAAGATGATGAGAAAAACTTGTTTGCCAAAAAATAACGTTGAAGAGGGTAAGTGTTACAAACAAAAAGATATTTTTTTATACTACACACTTGAAGAAAAAATTGCAATTTTACTTTTTATTGGATATCGTTGCATTTTGACAATATTTATTATATATATATGTGTATACATATATATATAATAAATATTGTCAAAATGCAAAAAACTCGAGATATACATATGTATATATATCTCGAGTTCTTAGGTTTTCGCGATTGTTACACAAAGGAAATGAAACTATTTTTTCGGATTTAAATCGCGTACCTACATTTGTTTTTTTCAAACAAACCAACGGCAACGTTTCGGTCCTTTTACAGGCCTTGACCATGGGACCTATAAAGGGCCCGAAATGGTTGTTTGTTCCAAAAATACAAATATTCGCGGTTTAGATCCAAAAAAATTGTTTCATTTCCTATATACAATTATTTTATTTATAAGTATTAAGTATTATTGTGTCAGACAACCTGATCTCAAACTTGGGAACCCTTGTAATAAAGTTCAAGAGCAAATGTTTAAATCAGTGACGATCACATTATTCCTGGACACTTATAATTCAAACAAAATATTTTATTCAAAGATACTTACTTGCCATATCCCAATCAATAATGACATAACTAAGTAATTACACCTTTTGGAGTAAAACCACAGACATAATAGTTGGTGAAGTTTCAGAAAAATAATTTAGATACAGTTCGTTCTTATAAATATTTTGTAATCTTTGACTGCCTTTTTATCGTTCGAACACACTAGAGCTCTATTTACATTACCACGGTACGGACTGGAAGCGAATTTTTGGACGAAATAGCGCATAGCGTAATGAGCTTTGTGACAATTGTATATGAGCCAAACAACAGCTCGCGCGTCTTCCGGAAAATTCTCTAGCACTCTATGGAATTTGCAACCGTATCGTATCTAGTTCGTACGTTACGTATTTGATATATAGTTAATTATGCTATGTACATTTCAATTACCACAGGAATGAAAATTGAACTTTAGTTTACAGGTACATTAACGTTGTTTACGCTTTATTTTCAGAGAAGGTAGACAAAATATCAGAAGGAACGTTTATTGAAGAGAAAGAAGTAATGTGCTACATGGCTTGTGTTATGAAAATGGCTAATACCGTGAGTATACTTAAAAATTATTGAGGTAGGTTTTCAGGCATCATTTAAATTAAGAACAATTGTAATTATTGTTTAGATGAAAAACGGCAAGCTTAGTTACGAAGCCGCTATGAAGCAAATCGATTTACTGTTGCCTGATGAGATAAAAGAACCAGCCAAGAAAGCGCTCACTGCTTGCAAGAAAGTTCGTAAGTACTATTTTCTCTTCTAAACATTATTCTAAAACGATAGATTTAGTGCAAAAAAACCTCATACAGTATACGTATTCCTTGGCGGAAGTAGCTGCCAGCATTCTGATCATCGAAACCTTAAACATCAAGGTGAATTGAAAGCTAAGCAAAAAATTGAGAGGCGAGTTTCGTTTGTAGCCCTTGTACTCAACGTTTCAATCTCAAAATGCACAAAAAATGGATCATCATAAGCTGAAGTACGTGTGTGTGTCAGACCAATACTTCGTTTTTTAGAATTAGATTTTTTATATGATGCCAAGTGCTGAACGAACAAGTCGTGCGCTTGGTGGTAAACGACACGCTGTCCATAGCAGTTGCAGTGCCATTCAGAGCTTTAAATCGCAAAGATCTGAGTCGCATTGCCACTGTTCCCGTCACCCTGAGACAAGTTGACAAGTTCCATGTGCCTGTAATTTCACCAGCACTCTTATCTTTCAAAACCGGATCGCAGTAATCCTCACATTACCGCTTGGCGGCAGAGATAGTAAAGTGGCAGTACTTCACTGCCCGAACAAATTCACGAGGAGCTGTAAACCAAAGAAGCAGTGATCTAAAGGTGAGATAAACCTTTTTCTTCAGTCAACAAATATGTACATTATAATAAAAAAATTCTTTTAATGTGCAAGTCTTTGAAATAGGTTAAGTATATAAATATAGGTATTTTCTCATTTAATTTATAATAGTGAGTACTTCGAGTAAAATAAAGTACCTAATAATTACACAAAAATGGTACCGTATACGTGTTTGAGAATTTTATTTCAAGGTATTTAATAAATTACTTACAAAATGACTGAAAGAAATGGCATGTGACAAAAGTCCCAAAATTAAAAATGGAGCTCTTGCGGCGCAGCCTGTGCCAGTCATTCTAAAGCTGGCTTCCCACAGCTCGTGGAGTCATGAATACCGCCCGTACCGTACTCACCTGCAAGGTCGCGTCAGATCCGCCGTGTGTACATAACTTCAGGTTTACGGGGCGCGGCCTGTGAAATCACGGACTATGGGCCTATGGGTAGCTACCAATATTATGGAAAATTTACATCTCTTTTTTATTATTACATTTTTCTTAAGTCTTTGTGAGTGGATTTAATTTTTTTTTAAAACAGCATCGATAAAGTTGTTAATTAACACGACCGGAGTCTGCTTTCAATAATATTTATTTCCAAGAGCGCATAGCGATATATACAATAAAAAATGTCAGGTATAGCCAACACGACGTTGGGCATTTTACACATTGGACTTGGGCTGTGTCTTGCCATAAAAAAAGAAAAAGGTAGAGTTAAATAAAAACAATATTAAAGAAGATTTGAATTTTTTAATTTTATTCATTTCTGGCTACTTGACCCATATAATATATACCTTAAAGACTAACATACAATACATACATACAACACTGTACGTACAATACAATATAAGAATGTATTTATTTATTTACACGTATGAACTGCGACGTGTGGCGCAACTTGAAGGTCAACAGATGTAGAGTTGGTACTCGCACCACAAATGAATTAAAAATCACATTGTGGCGGGACCCCAACCGCTCGACCCTCAGGAAAGCATTGGCATCCGTAGACTTTGTGGATGTACTTATTTTATACTTAAACCGATCAATGAGAATGCATTCAACTCGTTCAAATTCCGTGCATGCAAATTTTTTATATCCCCTTTTGCAATAACTCTAATAGTCATACGACAAAAGTGATTATCTTATGAAAGTTATAAAAATAATACGGACAGCATGACACAAATCATGTATAATTATGTGAAATTTTATAAGTCTCCTATTTAAGCATACAAAAGTTTCATTTTTAATCGACTAATTTGGTTTGAAGAATTTTTAACCTTCTCTCCTGAAAAGTGGTCATTTTGCAGATTTGGCCTTATTTCACCAAGAGCGCGAATTCAGTAATAGACTTAGTAACTTAGAAGCAATACAGCGCTAGAGTTTTTAGTAGTAGTAGTAGAGATTTTAGTAGCAATTGCGAGCGGATTGAGAAAGAGTTCGTCCAGAGAAGTACTGCCACCTTACCTACATATCTCTGCCGCCAAGCAAGAATATGAGAATTACCGCGTTCGGTCTCTTTAAGAGTAAGGGTGCTAGTGAAATTACATAAGCGTGGGACTTGTCAACTTATGTCTCAGGCTGTGGCAGTGCCTCTCAGATGTTTGTGATTGAAAGCTCTGAATGACACTGCAACTATTATGGACAGGTGTGTCGCTTATCACCAGGCGCACGATTTGCTCGTCCCGTCTCTTAGTATCATAAAAAAAGTTTTCATTGCTTTTAATCATTATTTCCTCCTCTAGAAAATACATGCATGTACGACATCATTATTTTGTTTGATAAAATGAAATGAAAAATGAAAGAAAAAACTATATTCCTAACCGATAACCACGTCCATGTTGAAACACCTACAAAACTACATATAACAATATCTGCCTATACAAATAGTAAATAAGTACATAATCACTTCAACGTAGGTATGTATCATAAAAAATACATTACCCCTACTTAAAATCACATTTGCATGTTCAAAATGTTTATAATTCTTGTATTATTTGTATTCAATTTCAGCGGACTCGTACAAGGACATCTGCGAGGCATCGTTTCATACTACAAAGTGTATTTACAATGAAAACCCGGAAATTTTCTTCTTCCCCTAATAAAATAATTATTGACATATTTTCTTCTAACATAAATGATAGTTTTTTTTATTACAAACTTTTATTACAAACTACGCTTTTATTACTACATTTCTGATAACAAATAACTTTCTATCTAATGAAGGAATTTGTATGGGGAGCCTATATTTTTAATAATTTGATAAATTCGTTTATTATCAACAATTATCATTACGAAATACGCTCATACCCTTTCGTAACATCTGTTTAACTCATTAGGCACTGGATTTATGTTGCGGATCGTACTGCACCTACGCATTCCAATCGCAAGGTCAGTGTTTATTGCAGTGAACAAAAATGATTACGTTATCTCAAAAATGTATGTGTGTGTGTTCATTTTACAAAAATGATTACGTTTAATCAAAAGATTTCATATCCCATAATGTCGATCCTTTTTCTATTTTATCTATAAACATTTCTGTATCAAAATCGCTCCTTTTCCCTTCATACGTGCACTCGCTCTGAAGTTCGCCCGTAAACAGAACGTAACCAAAGAGTTTCTAGTATCACGACTCGCGCGAGCCACGTGCTTTATGCGCGTGAGTCGAGTGTCAGCGTGCAATAAACTCGCGCGATGCTTATGGAGATGACATTTAGCGCTCATGTACACGATGCCGCCGTCACCGCGCCACCGCCGCGGCACCATTCGCCAATATTTAGTTTTGTTTATTCCATTACCGGCCGCCATCGTATGCGCACTTACCTACCCACTTAACTTTTTAGTAATCTATCATGGAAAATTTTGATTACGAAACGTTCATAACTTTGGTGGAGGACAGAGAAGTGTTATGGGATAAAATCAATCGGCGGTGGCGCGGTGGTGAACGTATACACAGCATAGAGGCGCGGTGGCGGGACGGTGTCGACACGGCGGCGGCATCGTGTACACGAGCGTTTAAGCGTTTAACTATAGTTGAACGTCAACGGCGAGGTATACCTCGCCGACCGACGTGGATATGCGTATCAATTCGCGTGGGGACGATTCGCGACGAATTCTGGACAAGGTCTTAAGAGTGCTTCAAGAACTAGGTGTATATTTCTATTCCAGAAAATATTTATTTATCATCCACTTATGTATTCCTCGCATAGTTTATGATAATAGTGTAGATTTTGTACTAAACATTAATTACATCCAAGAATATAAACAACAAGCAAATTGTTATATGACGATTAAGTTTTTTCCTGTCACACTTCCGTTGCAGAATAGTGCACCTGCGTAGTAATTACTTATGTACGTGAATACGCGCAATTCATTGTTACCTAGAAAATGTAATAGCGATATGCTTTTATAATTGGTTTTTTTTTCTTATTAACCTATTGTGTCCCACTGCTAGGCAAAGGTCTCCTCAAAATCCTCCAATGCTCTGTGTCTTTGGAAGTTTTATTTAGCTACTTAAAAAACTAAATTCTATCTAAAATCATGCACTGCTGCGCCTTGAACCAGTGCAACAAGAATATCGTCTGACAAATAAAATGAGATTTTGTATAAAAAACATTTGATTAAATTTGTCAAACTTCAGCTATCCCGATTTTTTTCGTCCCATACAAAAACATATTTCTTACATGAAACTGAGTCGATCAACACTAAAAAAAATTGACAAATTTTATTCATTTTTAAGGACAACACACGCTTGACCAAATAATTAACTATGGCATTCTATTTTTATTCAATTAAAAGAACTTTTATTACTATAATTGAATCAGTTTTGTCATCTGTTAACTTATTGTTCCTCTTACAGTAGGAAAAGTCTCTCTACGATTGTCATATTAAATGTATGGGAGCGTTTAATGTTAAAATTTTGGATATTTCTAGTTTTATTTTTAAAACGTTATTGATGTCGATTTATTCATTAGGTAACGTATTTTCGATATTAGTTTAAAGCTTTTTTGATATTTCTTATATTTATGGAATAATCGCCTGGGCACACTTAACGATTACACCCTGTACAGATAGAGGTAATTGAATATTATAACAAATAAAACTGATAAAAATAATGGCAATAACGATAAATTTACCTCTATAAACACTAAATCCAATGTAGGTGAACAACCCAACCAAAGGAATTAAAAAGTATAATGCGTAAAGCCTAAGGTAGCTTAGCACGTATACATTGCATTAGAACATTCAATATAATCAGGATGTAGAGCACATCAGGATGGAGGTACTGTACTGTGGGAGCGTAGCCGTGGTTGTAGCGTAGAGAGAGGTACTATTTAATAATAAACGAGGAATATATTCATAATTAAAGATTTACTGTGAGCGTTCGGTTTGAAGATTTGTCCAGAACTCTCTCGATGTTCATTTGACAACAACCTTCTATTTTTTATACAATTCTAAAAATAAAAAAGTAGCCAGCTCTACACGCTACTGTACCTAAATTAGGACATATAGTAGGGGAGAGCGGAGCTGAACGTTCCGATTTTCAAATAACTTGCAGTTTTATACTGAAAATGAAGGATTTGATTTTCAACATGTGGAAATGTTGAACAAATGTTCATCGCTTTTTGTAATAGTATAGTCACTTCTACTAATATCTCAATAGTCTTTTTCACAGAGGCAAATTATTGACAAATTTCGGAGCGGAACATTCAGCCCCGCCTTGGGGCCCCTTGTTCCGCCATTGAGGCAAATTGTTTCGCCTAGATTATGACAGAATAACAAAGATTTTCTTAGATGAAACCACTTATTTTATAATTGTACGCATGTAATGTTTTTCATCGCTCATTTCTTCATCTGAATCACAGTTGAGACACACATAAGTGACTCTATCATCTTGTCTAAATATATGACATGAGCCCGTTTGTAGTTTGGCATCCTTAAAACAAAGAAAAATGGTCATAAAAATTTTAAGTATGATTGCAGGTCAATTGGGGAAATTGTTCCTAGGAACAACCAGCCCCTCAAGAGAGGAACTTATAGCCCCAAATTACGTTTTCATACGAAGACTGACATACCGGCAAAGTAAAAGAATCAATCAAAAAATACTCAAACAATAAGATTCCTTACTAATGTTACTACAATTTAGAAAAGTTACGTATGAATCGGCCCATAATAAACAAAGACAGACCAAAAAAATTAAACAAGAAAAAGAATTACTTAGGTACGTGATATTTTAACAGCTCCACTCACATAGCCACACGTCGTCGCCGGAGTTACTGAAATGGTTGCCGGCAAGACGCATCACCTGACGCTTTAACAACGCGCTTCACATGTATTGCTACATATTTTCCTGCAAAGTTATTGCTGTGAGAACAACTTACCCCGGGAACTACCAGCCCCGGTCTCCCCTATAAGCAAAGCTGAAGCCGTCCCGATATCAAAACGCTTTTGTTTGCACGTTGAGATTGTAGGTAATCCAGTCCCTTCTTTTGTCGCCTTTTTTTTTGTATAAACATTATGTTTTTTTACAAAAAGACCATAATTTGATACGATTTGGAGATTGTCCTTCAAAATCACTTATGGGTGAATATTGTATACACGTACAAGCATGTAAAAATGTGTTCCGCTATTCGGAACTAATATAGTTACGGTCATTAACAACGATATCAAAAAACTGAGCAAATGATAGATTTGCAAGATAAATGCTAAATACCAGTGAATTTATACAAAAATAATATAAAAGGAAAAAAATACTAACATTGAATTATTATTCGACGGAGCTCGTACGTTACAGTGAATATGTCTGTTGTGCTCAAATTTATATTAAGTTACTCTTTGCTTAGTGTCGCTTACGTAAGTAAATAGGTATCTAAGTTTTCAATTTAGGAAGAAGATGACATGTACCTTCTAAAAGCATTAGGCTTCTTCCCTTGCTCTGCTTCCTGTTCTGCTTCACAAATAAACGAAATAAAAGCAATACCCAAATCCACCATACTTATCATGTAAAAGACCGACACTAAACAACTGAACACCTACTACGAGTATATACTACCTACTACGAGTAGATACTACCTACGCCTTGAGGCGCAGTCGCGAACATTCTCGAACATTCTCGCGGATTCCGTTCTATATCTACCGTTTCACGGCAATGTAATTCAGCCTTAATGTTTAAGATGGTCATGCACATGGCGGAAATTCGCGTGACATCATTTTCAGCCACGCCAATTACCTTGTTTTAACCTAGCGAATTCCCTATACTATACCAGAACAAGGGAATTCTACTAACTACTACGAACTACTTGGAACACGAAGCCCAGAACCGGTTTAGAACAGTTAATTTCCTAAATTCTTCGAAACTGGGACCTCCTCGTCCAGCGCCCGGAGTGCAAACCGTTAGACCAAAGACGTCAAATAATTTGGAGAACACTTTGTCTTTGCACTCGTGCTAAGCTTGCAAGCGCGTAATATCTGGGGGTCTACTCTCGCTCTCCGTCCGAAACAATTAACATCAAATAAATAATATTCGACCAAATTATAAAGACAATGTCAAGTATGAAGCTTCATTCGCATCATGAGTTTTTTAATTTGGTTGAATATTACTTATTTGAAGTAATTGTTTATGACGAATCGAACGGAGAACGACAGTACAGGGCCAGACTCAGACATCCCCAGCGCATTTCACGTGACAGCTTTATTTTCTAAGGCGAGGACGGAAGATGAAATCCGGTCCTGGTTCGTGAGCCTCGGCATGGAGTGCAACAAAGACTATGAAATCACGGTAGAAGAAATGACTCAACTCCACGCGCACAATGTCCCAGACAGCGAGAATGCCAAATGTCTGTTGGCTTGCGTTTACAAAAAAGCTGCATGGGTAAAAGAATTCAATATCTTTTATCGCTTTACCGTGTAGGTCACAACATTTATTTAAATTTCACATTCACCGTGGTTATAAAGTTCTATTTTCAATAAAGTACTTGAAATTGTAAGGTACCTACATTTTCCCAATCATCTAAAAAAGATTTAAGGCTTCTTTTCATTTTTGCTGTCCCAATGGAGAACTACCTATTCCTATTTTTTTTATCAGTAGTGCCTAATGCTTTTCACATTCGACATATTTTGAAAACCACCAGCATGTTAGTTTATGATAGACGTATTTTCCTTCACTTTAAAGTGGGAATATTCCTTTTTCCTTTGCCGTAGTAGAATAAGTAACATAAACGTCCAATTAATATTTAGATGAACGACAAGGGCATGTTCGATGTGGCCAGTGCGGACGCATTTGCGGAAAAAGAACATATCGGCAACGCAGAATTCATTGATAAATCAAAGAAACTCTTTGACGAATGTAAAACAGGTAAGCATTGATTTTTCCAGCCCGTAATTACACACTAACCCCAAGTTTCCCAGTGTCGTCCATACGGACCTTAGTAGGCTAGCACGACAGGGTGCGATTTGCGCGAGAGCGACACATAAGTCGCACCCTGTCGTGCTTACTTGCATGAGTCCGATATAGAAGTCGTGTCTTGTCGCATTAGCCCTACTGGAGGTGTATGAGATGAACCAAGGGGACTGTGTGGGAAGTGAAAAATATTTTAAGGGTGATTGAAGAATTGCACTGGCGCCGCAAGATTGAAAGTTTCTAAAGCGACGGAATCGATCATGCGTAGTTTTAGAACTTTTAATTGGATATCGTAAAAGATAATTTACTTGGAGGTTCATGACAAAGTTGTTTTTTTATGGTAAGGGGGGTTTTTTAAGGTAAATCCGGAAACCACTGCTCTAATCAAACAAACAACAAACTTAGTGCATCAATTTCGGAAACTTCTCACTAATTCTCACACTAACTAGGAATTATCGGTTAACGCGCCGTTCCACGTTTCTTCAGTATAAATCTTACCGAATACATTATACACAGAACCGTTCACACGGTGTTTGTGCTGCAAAAAACGCACACAGCTAAATACGTTTATCGAACAAGCGCCAGACTTGTCAAGCAAACCGAATGAACTGGTTTGCAGTAGCGCATAGTATTGTCGCAGTAATACACCATCTCTTTCACACGTCGCAATATCACACGTTTTTACAGACTATCAACCGAACCAAACCGTATTTATTTAATGTAAACTCGAGTTCTCCAAACGTTTTAACAAATTGTCCAAACTATTTAAGGGCATCCGACAGTAATTGAAAAACATTTTTTTATCTTTTTACATTTTCGTACAATTTTTCAAAGATGTGTTTGTACGAACTGCTTCTTGATTTATAAGATGAATCCAATACCTTGTTACATCCAGGGCGAAACCTTTGGGAGTCTTCTATACCAGTATACAAGTGCAACAAAGCGTGGGTCCATCACAGACGTGTTCTCAATGTGACTGCTATATGTACACTGCGGGTACCAGTCTTTTAGACGAATAAAAATATTTCGTGTGAATATCCCACTGTCTATCCGTTTATAATCAAATACGATAAACTCTCGAAGAAATAAATAAGCAGTAATCATTTATGATGCCACTTAATTTTTTTATTAGAATGTACAAATAAATATTGACATTATAATTTACAGTAAACGATGCAACTGTCGCAGACGGCGAAAAGGGATGTCAAAGAGCAGAATTACTTACCAAATGCTTGACTGAGAAGGCGCCTCAGGTAACTTTTCTATTAGAAAAATTGAACTTTGTTATGCAAACAAGAACCAACCCACACCTCGAGTGAAATTGAGTTATGTATTCAGGTAGAACACCAGGCGTGTCCTTTACCCACTCACAAAAGCTCCTGGCAATAAACCAAGCCAAAACGGAGAAAATAAAAGTCCTTCAGGGTCCCAACCCTAAATAAGTAACTTTTTAACAGCTAAAAAGAATCATGCTGCTTAAGTTCATATGATGTATTTTTTTTAAATATACTAAATGGATCCATGTCACATGTACTGAATTACTGTAGATCTTTAGCGTTTTCATTACGAAAACTAGAACATGGATCTCGTTAACTAAATAAAAAGATACATAATTTTTCTATTTATTGGTGTATTATGTAAGTTTCCCTATACCAGTCTCAATGCTACACATCACTCACGCTGTTTGTCTCAAATAACTTACCTATTTATTTTTTCACACTGTTTTTACAAAAATTTAATTATCTCGAAAGTGACATTTTGTGGGTTGATTCTAATTTGCATAACTATGTCCAATTATTCTTCAATTGTGACCATAATACATTAAAAACAAAATATCGCTTTTAAAGTGGTCACACACGGCGATTTTTCGAACGCGCGATCGCAACGCTACACTTGCAATTTATAGGCGCTTGCATCGATACAAAAGCGCGACTACATCGATACAAACGCGCATTCAGCGCGATTCAGGCGCGCGCTTGCATCGTGTTTGCATCGCTGCTTAAAATCGCGCGCTTGTGTTAAACAGCCCATTCACCACCTGCATGGCAGTCCACCACGCCGGCAGGAGACTGCTCACACATTATCCTGCATATGGACATCATAGATTGCAGGATGGCTTGCACGCTGCGACTACATTTATAATCCTGCATTACGCGGCGGACGGCAAGGTGGCCTGCAATGCAGGATAATGAATGTCCTTCAAATGTAGACGATTAGCGACTGCATCGCGTTTGAATCGCTACTAAATGTCGCCGTGTGTGGTTACACATTAACCTCCTAGCTTCTAAGGGCACAGGAGGTTTTAGGTACCTACTACCTTTTTTTTGTTTACCATGGGGTCTCTGTCACACAGGGAAGAATGTTTTGTACACGATTAATAAGATCAAAAGAAATTAAACGTTATAATACCATTTAACACAATTTTTCTAATTGGTTGTAACATAAAAACGAGAAAAAACTTTTTTACCTGTAAAAACTTTGCTTTGAAATTGCATACCATACAGAAAACGTACAAATTTTCTGGTTTCATTATTTAAAAACAAAATGGGAACATTATTATTGGAAATCTGTAGTATATTTCAACCAAACTTCTAGAAACTGATGATAAAGAACAAGAACCTACAAATGTATAGATTTGCGAGATTATATAAATACCACTATGTAGCTATGTAAATACCAGTATGACGGAAACAAAAGTAAAGTTTCAGGGATATAGGTATTCTTTTCCACACACTTGCTGCTCATTTTTTTAAAAGCAATAGCAATCGACGAGACGGACAAGTCGTGCGCCTGATGGTAAGCTACACGCCTGTCCATAACAGTTACAGTTCCACTCAGAGCTTTCAATCGCAAAGATCAGAGGGGCACTGCCACCGCGCTCATCACCCTGAGACATAAGTGGACAAATCCCTTATGACTGCAATTTCACCAACACCCTTACCCTATAAAACTAGAACACAGTACTACAGACACATTACTGCTTGGCGTAATGTGGGTGTAGTACTGCGTTTTTAAAATATTGTTAAATAGAATCAGCAGTGACCACGGTCACTCACCATCAGCAGTGCCTGCCAGCCTGCCTGTTCGAATGCCATAAAAAATTTAAACACAATAATATAACAAAAGAAATAAGTAAAAGTTATAATATTTTATTATTCTAGATGGGCTTCAACATTATGATGTAACTAAATAGGATACCACAAGCTCCACGTAGTCTCCAAGAAGTACGAAGATAGAAGGAAATAAAATTAATTCATTAAGTTGCAATATAGGCCTAATAAAAGTGTTTTAAAGTGATATCATGCTTTTATTCGTAATAATATCCTTAGAAATGACATAAGAAAATGTATCTAAAACATGGTTTAAAATATGTTTACTAATATATTGTTGCTTATTACGTACGTATTATGAAAATGTTATGAAAACTTTAAATTGGAGTAGAATCTCAAAAAAAAAATTACCGAACTTTATTTACAGCTGACAATTTAACGAACTTTAAAAGGTGGTTCACTTTTAATAATGTACACACGCCAGCACATCAAGCTACACATTGACGTATCTTGTTCCGTTGAACTGGAGGCGATTTTCGAACAAAAATGTGTCGTTGTCCGTACGTTACGTAGAACGGAAAAAATCCTTAGACTTCCGCAAGATGGCGTCGTCCCAAATATGCAATTCTAAATTTAAATTTAACATTTATGGAATTAGTGTTAGTTTTATTTTTTATTATTTAAATATTAATATACTAAACGTTATTGTGAAATATTATGTAAAATATACAACATACTCGAATACTAAAATAATAAACATGCCTTTGAAATAAGACAGAGAACAAAGTGTCCAAAATGATCCTTAAATTGCCAGCCTTTATTCATTTAATGAGATTCACATCACTCGATACAAACAATTTACGCCTTTGTCAACACAAAAATATGTACGTTCTTACAATTACGTAGAGTCAGCGTCAAAATAATCTGAGAATTCAAACCGTAGAGGAAGTAAAGAAACTACATACAATAGAGTAGTCTGGTCAGGTCACTAATTATATATATATATAAATTAAAACTAATTTGCTACACGGTTAAAGTTTAGTCAAGGTTAAATCGTGCAGTTGCTTCGGTGAGTATCTGCATTGCGTAGCAGGAAGAGAGGCAGCTTCCGTCTGCCACGACTGCGGCGCGCCACGCCCTGGCAGAGTGTACAGCTTGGGGCCCTCAGCGGCACTCCCTGCCTGCCTTAGTAGGAGGAAGTCTCTCGCTGCCAATTACCGTGAGCGCAATGTTCGGCAGCGAGAGGTGCTGGGAGGCAATGGTCTCCTTTTGCGAGAGCGTAATTTCGCAAGACGCCTCGGAGCGGCTTAGAGAGGACGACCCCTCGCTCACCCGCTCAGAAGACGGCGGCCGGGGAGACGAAGGAGACAGTACGCCCACCTTCTTCTCCCGCCGTATTCTGGGGTCGGGGGACCCTTACCACCAAGTGGCCCGCCTGCCATGGGCCATCCGCAGAGACGTCCCAGTAGCGCGCGTAAGCGGATTCTGAGTCGTCTATCTATGGCGGTGGGGTTTTAGTGGGTGTACAGGGGCTACCGCCTGGGAGTCCCACACAACCGCTCGCTGTTCCCCCGACGCGAATGGTATGCTTAACGCATAACCCAGCGTAAAAAAAAAGGTTAAATCGTGCAAAATACGCTCAATGTCATAGACCCTGAGATGCTTCGTGAACAGGCGAAACAGGTGGTGGTGTTTCTGACTGTAGTTGGTCCATGTATTATTTTATTAATTTTATTTGGAGGGAGGGTGGTAAAATAAACTGTATGAAATAAATATTCAACACAAGCGTAGCTATTTTGAACGACTGAGTTCGCGGAGTAACAAAGCAATTTACTTCCATTTTTATTATCATGGATTTCCGGAAAATAAAGCCTGAATGCTGAATCTATTAACAACACACAACTGTCACACATAGGGATCGATTATTGAAATTCTGCTGACAGAATTCACATGCGAAATACACATGATCGTATTTTTTAAATTCTTATCATTCGAATCCGCAACGGATTTGTTAAGAGTCATTTGCGAATAAAATAAATTACATTTCTATTAGTTGAATTTTATGTAGCTGTCCACTTGATAGAATATGCTTTAGCTCAATGTACCTAAATGTCTAGCAAATAATTGAAAGAGGACCTTAAATTCAGTCACTTAAGGTTGAGTTATTATCATATCTAGGGGTATTTTTGTATGTTTGAACGCACACATTGTTCTGCCACTGACTTTATTTCGACCCTAGTCCTACGTAAAGTATCGTATATCGAAATTGCCAAGTTTACAGGGGAGCGTTTTAAAGTTTTGAATTCACTGAAATGGGTTTTTTGGGCGTTTTAAAGTTTTGAATTCACGGAAAAATTAATTGGAAAATGATAAAATAAATTGTGGTTGTTCACCTAACCGATATCTAGGATTTTATAACACTCTGTATGAGAACGAGCTTTGCCGAATAAAACTGAGAAATGCTAAAGTCACGTGTTATGCTCATTTCGGTGAATTTAAAACTTTAAAACGCTCCCCTGTAAACTTGGCAATTTCGACATACGATACTTTACGTAGGAGGGGGCGAATTTCGTTAGTAGGTAATACTAAATTGAAAGTTTTATAACAACATATACACCTTAATCAGAAGTATACACACTATCATCACAATTTACAAAAAAAATACAACAGTAATTTATTAATGTTACAAAAATATTTCTTGATACCAGCGATGTATAAAAATATACTGTAGAATGAATGAAACAAAAATCTTATCTTTTCTTAACAAGAAAGAAATTATAGTGCTTTAAAGCCTGCTAATTTTACATTACATTGCACGATATCATTAATGTATATATTAAACATATAATATTGCGCAACTATTATGAACTATTATGTAATTGCAGTGTCATTGTTTTCATATAAAATACGACGTAAGACGGCGACGTTATTACGTATACATGAAAAATATAAATAAAAAAATACAAAAACATTACATGCCTAATTATATTCGGCTGCCATAATCATTTCTCCATTTCGAAATTTTCGAGTATAATTTTTTTTAATATATCAAAGATACACGCTTGGCCACAATCTCACCTGATGTTAAGCGACGATATGACCGACGACGGGACGCGTTTGCCTAAAAAATGCCTATTCACTCTAGCCTTGATTAGTCCCAAACTGTACTTTTCGGGAAATTTTAGACGCCGGTAGAGCAATCCATTCCTTTGCCGTATTCATCATAAAGGAGGAAGCAAAGCGCGTATTGCGAATAGGTGGAATATCAACGACATAAGAATGGAGTGCTCCGGACCTTCTAGTCGACCGAAGGAGGAACGGTGAGGGTGGAACTAAATTAAAACGATCCTGCGCTTGTCCTGTGCGTTTCGGGGAGTGTCCCCGAAACGTATCCGATAAAAAACCGACAAGCAGGCTACTTTTCTGCGATGGTCGAGATTTTGAAGCTTCGACCCTACAAGAGAATTGTTGTTAATAAGTCTCTTTGCTTTTCGCTCCACCGAGTCCGAGGCAGCTAGCTGGTAATGGGCAGAGCCGTCCCAAAGGTGGCAGCAGTTACTCCATACACGATCGAACATATGCTTTACAAATTTAAAAGCTGTTCAGGTGTGTAGCTTGGCTTGGTGTAAGAAGTGCATACGTAATATGGACCATGCAATGAAAATTTGAGTACTACTTTTACTTCGGCGAAGTGGTATGGCCATACAACCATCAAAGACAACTCGGTGGTATTGCTATCATAAGTATTTCCGGCTAAATGTTGCCGTGAAAAGGTAATTAGTTGACAGTTTATAGGGGAATATTGTCAAAAGTACTGAGAAAAGTGCTAAGGCGATAGCCGTAATTTAATGAGACGTTTCCCAATTTTTAATGTGATCTTGAATTATTTCCTTTGCATGAGTCACTTACGGGTTAGCATATAGACAAATGTGGATAATGCGTATGGATATATTATGTATATATTAAACAATCAACTGTTCCTTACTGTTAATAAAACTACTCGATAAAAATGGAGATGGACAACTCTGATATTCATTTCACGTTTCTAAAAATGTTCGTAATGAAGGAAGAATATTGAAAACGATAAAAACATTACACCTACTTTATGAGTCTTTTTTTTTTATTTGCAAGAAAATTCCCTGCATTTCCATAGGTACAGTTTTACGAATAAAAAATAAAACTAGTTTCTCCGTATATTGTGTTGTAAACTTTAGAATGTGCACGGTTGCAAAGATACCGAAGAACTCACGCATCGGGTGCTTATTAGTTTCAAACACTATCGCCGACGTAAATATCACACTAATTCCAACCCTACGCGGTTGACATGCTGTCACAGTTCTATGGCATTTACTCCTTGCGGAGTTTTGTTGATGTGATATGACGTAAACTAGAAACAGACTTGTTATCGTACCGACGCCGACGGTATACATTATATTATTGCGGCCCAGAGATTAGCCACGCTGATCACGTTACTATTAATTTTAGTAGCCTAATGGCGGCGTGCAGGTGTTAGGGCAGAGGCTAATTTAGCCGCTGAATATAATAAGGCCAGTACCTAAAATTAAATATAAAGTGCATTGTTATGGGCAAAGTGACTAGTGAATATTATAGAAAACATACGTTTCATTCAAGATATTCCATTTAGATAATCTTCTTAAGAGTTAATTTTGTGCCAGAATATTGAAATACGTATTTTAAATTTTTAATAATGTAGAAAAATTAGCACATAGTTGGAGCGAGAAAATTAAACGCCGATCAAATTCTTTTGGACCCTGGAACAGTGCCGCCAGTATTTTTGAATATAAATAATTATTAATACGACGATCGACGAACACTTCAAAAAATCCTTGGATCCGACTGGATTCGAACCAACGTCTTCCAGCAAACCGTGCCAAACGCTATGCTAACTGAGCCATGAAACGTGTACTCGTGTTCTCTAAGGCTCTAGACAGACAGACTGCATTTCAACTGCGCTCCGACTGCAAATCGGGCCGTGAAGCCCGATTGCATTCGGTGTGCAGTTGGCGTGCAGTTCCAACGAAACGGTTGAATGCAATTCAAATGCAGTTGAACCAACTGCATTTGAACTGCATTCAAACTGCAAACTTGCAGTCGGAGTGCAGTTGAAATGCAGTTTGTCTGTCTAGAGCCTTAATCTTCGATCTATATATCTAATTGTTAGATCTATGTATTAATAATTTCAAAAAGTAGTGGAGTAATTTTACAAAAAATAATTGAATATCATGGAAGTGAAACATCCTGGCATTCAATAAATTTAATCTGAATATAAATGGTCGTGCTTTCATTACAAGATATCAGTTGTCGAGAATTTCATAACAACTTCCCCCGTAGCATGGCAACGCAAGATAGTCGCGATACGCGCGATAATATTGAAGTAAGCACGCGCCATTGGCTATCTAAATTAGATCTGATTGAGACAGCCAATTGCGCGCGCTTATTTCAATTTTATCGCTCGCCTCGCGACTATCATGCGTAGCTATGCTACGGGGGCTGGTCTACTTAAAGTCATAATAAAGCGTCACATTTTTTATCGAAAAGCTCATTAATTCTGCTTGCATTTAAAAATTGTTTAAAAATAGATATGTTTATAACCATATTATTATGTACAATTAATTACATTGAATTTATTAAGATTTCGTATCAAGTCTAGGTTATACAGGCTGTAAATATGAGACGGCAGCAATAACCAGCTACCTCAATCGTTGTAGTTACAGGAAAACGGTTTTACTCAAGACCTTGAAAACGTACAACATATATCTATCTGACCTCTATTCTCACTAGTTCAGTCGTCCAGTTCAGTTGACTGAATTAATGAGAATCTTTTTCCCATTTGCTCAGTTCTTCATTTAACTATGTGCTTGATACCCTATCAGATTCATAGTACCATCGTAGACCAGCTGGTGGCGCGACGAGTAATTTGCTGTTGGTTTGTCGTCCCACCAACATAGAGCCATTAAAAAAAAATTAATGTTGTCTAGCAAAAAAAGCTTGTTTTATTTTCAACTGTGTAAACAAGATAGAAATTCTTTATAGTTCAATCAACTAACTGGACTGGACAACAGAACTAGTATAGAGAGGA